CCTATAGTATTTTTGAGTCTTTTGGTAAAAGTTAAAAAATATAAACAAATATTAAAAACGTCTTTGCTATCTGATTTAAAACCACACTGAGGTCCAGTCTAAAACTCTGATCTAAGAAGGCCTTGATGAAGATTAAAAAGTGAAAAAAAAAGCTTCAAGTTGAGCATTTCTGTCGTTTTTCTTAATGAGCTCAAAGTATATTTAAGGTTGGTTTTTTGGTTTTCGTTTTATAAATTCATACACAGAACAAAGCCTAACTATGCAGACAAACTGCATAAAAATAATCATAAAGCCATTTAAAACTAATCATTAAGACCCAATAAGATCCATATAAATCTAAACTGTTGTTTATTTTAATATTTTACAGTGCACTCCCCAATAATGAGCTCAGCTCCATACAGGCTATTTAAGCTGCACAGGTGATCGTCTCCCCTTAAATTTCCTGGTAGGAATCACATTTTGTCAACTTTAAAGCAAGAAAGCTTTGATCGTTTTTTACATTGCTGGACTTTGTTGTTCCCATACTTCATTTTTTCTTTTTAGCATATATCAATGTTAACATCAAAATTATATATACCATAAACAGTTTCATTATATTTTTGAGCTTATAGAACCAGTTCATTTGAACCACAGCATCATTCTTCTTGTTCCAATCTACTAGTAAAAGTTTTACACACTCTCATACAGGCACAATTTTCACCCCAGGTCAAAACTCAGGGTCACAAAATTATATTAAAAAAAAATAACTAGCCAGAAATGTCAATCTCTGACTGACCTTGTATTCTATATCTTCATCAGTCACAATAATAAATAAACAAATAAATAAATTAAATCTTAAAGTTCTATCCTGGAGGATGTGATGTGTCTCAGCTAGGGATGAAGGTAGTTTTAAATTCATTCATGGCAACAAAACTTGGCAGGAATAGTAATTGTTTTTAGTTATTATCAGACTTATGCAACACCTAAAGGTCCAATAACATCCAGTTAAATTTTTTGAATCACGTAATGACACAAAAACAGAGAATGCCTGAAACAATTCAGGACTTAAAAAAAATAATGCTAACTAAAATATTGAAATGACCCCCTTGCCTCAGCTGAACGTTCCGGGTTATGATAATACATAAACAACAAAAGAGAAAAAGACAATTTGTTACCTTAATGGTGAGCATGATGTGTGTGTGGCTCTTCAGCACCTCCACAGCGCTGCTATGGCTGATTTCCTGAAAGCTTACTCCATTAGCAGCCAGGATCTGGTCTCCGATCTTAATCCCATTCTGCTCGGCCAGACCACCTGGATCCAGTCTGAGATAATACCACAGAAGTGAACAAGAGATTAGAAAGGGCCAAGAACTTTTTAGTTAAGAAATAAAAATATCTTTAAGGGTCAGTTTAAACAATTTAATTTTTCCAGGTCAGATGATGCATAAAAATAACTTTTCACTATACTGTACCAGCATTTCTTTTATTGGTTTTATGCCATTTTCAAAGTTTGTAAGAAACCAAATTTAATTCTGCTGCAAGCCATACTCCCCACACTAGAAATATCTCTCTCTTCTATGTATTTCTAAATCTTGAAATCTTCTAAATGTATTCAAATAGATCCCATTTTTGATGATTTTCTGAATTGAGAAGTGCATGCATGCTGTATTTACCCATGTGTACCATGGCAGGCATGTCTACAATCATTTTTTGCTTCCCATGAAATTCCTTGTAAACACTACTCCTTAGCCTCTATTCCAGGGAATTTTGTACCTACTTGGAGACGTAGATGCCCAGACCAAACTCCTTGCCCCCCCGTATGTTGAACCCGAGGCAGTAATCATCAGACGTGGTGTAAAGGTGGACTATCCTTTGCAGAGCGCTGTCAGAACTGGCTTCTGAAGGGGTTTTTCCGCTCTCCTCCACCACCATCCGCCTATGTATCAGATCCACCCTTAAAAAGAACATCACACAGTGATTTTATTACCACAGAAGAAAATCAGGAAAGCACATTTTTTTTAAGTACTAAAAATAGTAAAATTCACCAGGTGGTCTTCTCCTTAGAGTAACGGATGCCGGGAACTTTCCCAACTCGTCTCACCACCATCCTCAGCCTGTTGTTGCCTGTCAGGACCTTCACGGCGCTGCTCATGGTGATACTTTCCAGGCTGATTCCGTTCACCTCTACCAGCTTATCTCCGACCTGCAGACCTGCCTCCTCTATAAGCAAAAAGGAGAAACAGAATAACGTAACTCACAGCTGGGGGAAACAGAACTGGGCAGCAGCAGTTGTTTTCCAGAGAGCACGCTTACCTGCAGTGCTGTTGTCCTCCACTTTACTGACAAAGATGCTGAGGCCATGCTCAGAGCCCCCGCGCACACTGAAGCCAAGCTTCCCATCCAAACTCTTATCCACCGTGACGGTGTGGAGGTCTTCACAATCATCTCCGCCTAAAACGTAATGGGCTGACAGTTAGATAAAAAAGTGGAATTTTGCTTTAACCTCTTGGCACCCTTTTGAAAAGCTATGGAAAAATCAGTCATCTGTTAGTGGAAAGGAAATCATGCAGCTGCAAACCTACAAAGAAACCCATGTAAGAGGCTGAGTTACATAGACCAACAAATTAGGCTGTAAGGACACATGAGGACTTCTGTCCATAGTTAGTCACAAGCTAAGAAGGGGAATACAGCTCATCTGTTAAATGTGGCATCACTTTGATTTTTTCATCTTAAAATGTGTGTTGGTTTGGGCTTCAATCAAAACCTGCCAGAAAATCTGGAGTGTTAAATTGACTTAGCTTTTTCCATAACTAAAAAAGCCCAAAAGATATTCTTCATAGAGTGTGATTCTGGTCCGCCTGTACTCATGTTACTCCTGGAAGGATGCTAACATTAGCCAACATTAACCAAAGGGATGATTCCAACAATCAGAGATTCACCTGC